GCTTCAGTGAAAAAGGGAAATGGATATTATTTGTTTGAAACGGCTGGAAGCTTTCAAAGATTGGGCATCTAACTCCATGAGAATAGTGATTGTGAAAGTTCATCAAGTTGTATGGAGCCATTAGATTTCTGTTTGTTGATTTAGGAAACTATTTAGTATTTGTAGTTCTTGTTTTCTTTTTTTTTTGTAGAGCGGTTTTCAAAGCATATGGTAATCGGTTTTGCCGAGGAAAACATTACATTTCTTTTTATAATTTTTATGGGGTTATGGTTCGGTTTTTTTCTACTTCACTAAGACGAAAATGTCTGCTGAGTTTTACTTCATTACTTGAACCTAATAGTCATTGATCGATCATTTTAAGGAATAAACGTTTTTCATTGTGACAATCCGATTAGTCTTGGTCAAAGGCTTATTTAACTCTAGCTATTATGTTGATAAAATGATTCAGGTTTTTTGTCAACATGATGGGACTATATATAATACGCAAAACATTAAAGAACAAAAATAAAATACTCTCAAAACGAATATATAAAAAAAAAAAAAAGAGAAAAGAGCATACACATTGCATGTTTATTGTTATACATTACAACACAAACGGTGAAGCAAAGAAAGAAACGGGCGAGGATGACAATTTTGATGTGGAAATCGATATTTTTCTTGCAAAATTTAAGAAGCTTGTTGTTGGACTCCAGTGTTGTGCTGACCATACTTCATATCCTGCGTTCTGCTCCCTAGCTTCATCCGAGCATTCTCTAACCTCTCTGATCCCGACCCCGTCCCCGTCCCCGTAACGTACCTAAGACACATTCACATTCACCAATGTTCATACTTAATATATAAATATATAGCGTGCATTGCAAGGTAAGTTTAAAACGTAGGTCCCATTTTGTGTAAAATTACCTGTAGAGCCAAGAGAAGGCGGTAATGGCGGCAATGCCAAAGCCACCAGAGGCTAGGAATCCGGTGATGATGAGGACCACGGTGATCACTGCCGGGACCAAAACGGGGCTGAAGATAACAAGCAGAGGAGTGGCCACGGTGAGGGCGATCACTGTTCCGGCGAGTGTTAAGCCGGAGAGGACCAGGAGGGACCCACCAGCTGTGACCGCAGTTGCTACCTTCACCATCTGCTTTGCCTTTGGATGGTCTCTGGTACTACTGTCTCGGCTTATTATCTCGTGATGGGTTCTTGTTGGGTCCGCCATTCTGATGATCGATCCAACACAAAAGTTTAAAGTAGAAAGAGAGAGAGAGTATATGGAGATTGTATAATATTATGAAGTAAGCAATAATGATATATCAAGGAGTTGGGGAGAGAGGTGGTGGGGCTTGCGTGAGCCGTGACACGTGTGGAGGGTGTCTTCATGCAGCCGTTGCATGTGTAAATGACAGTAGACAAGGGTTTGTTTCGCGACACGTACGTTAAGGCCGTTTTTTTTTTGTTAGGTCGTTCCTCGTTGGCCTCCAAACGGAACACAAATGGATCGGGACATTATAAATATGGGCTTCATCCCCACTCATCAATCCAGCTTAGCTAGCCCACAGGCCACATAGAGTAGTAGCTCGTTGCCTCTAGGAAGAAAGGGCATGAATGTTGGAAACGTGCAATCTTAATAGTAATAAAGGGGTTTTTTGCATCTCTATTGGTTTCATTTTTCTTTAAAGAAGTTTTGCCTTTACAATGGAAATGGAAACTCTAAATTCATCCTCTTGTTACTCACACTTGCGCTTCAATAGACAAAACCTTTCCCATTATTAACAACAACGTGGAGTTAAAATGTGCACAGCCAAAAGAGCAGTTTAAAGTTTCCATTTTCTCTTCCTCTTGGGTTCTTGATTTTAGCCTAGTTTTTGTTTTAGAGTATCGGCTTGCTTTATGGCTTGGAGTTAGGATTAGATTATGTTATCTAGTGCTGCGTCCTTGCTTGGTTTAGCTTGTTAGTATTTTGGCTGTCTAGGAATTGCATGTTCTCCACTGTTTGTGAATTTGGAGTTGCAATTGTTGTCCTTCGGTTGGTGTGTGCGTTGTGTTGTTCTAGGTGGGGTAATCTTCGATCTGCTTAATTTTATCTCGGTGAATCTTTCCATGACTCCTACCGTCCTTAGTTTAGTCAATAATTAGTCTTCCCCTGTGGTTTTTCTCGGTCTGTTCTTGTAAAGTTAACCTCTTGTGGGGATGCATAGTTCTAGATTTAGACTTTTTAAGATAATGATTAGGTGGGTAGGAGTTTAGATTCCCGTGTGTGGATCTATGTTCTTGTTGATCTGCCTAGCCGATATCTGGTTAGTATAGTTGATCTGCGTCTTCTGCTCTTTCCGCATTCTCGGTTGGATGCGACTGTTTTTTTATAATTTGATTTAGTGGCGGCTGTAATATATAGATTTATGTACTATGTTTTCTATGGTCCCTGTAATCTTTAGGGTTCCCATGTAATCTCCGCTCTCGGTGTATCCGACTGTGTAACTTGATCATCATCTTATATAATATCATCCAGCGAAAAAGAAAAAAAGTTTCCATTTCCTCATCATATAATCCCCAACACAGACGAAAAGTGTAAATTTTTCTTTCAGATTTCTCCTAAAAAGACGATTTTGAATCTGTGTCTCGAATATGAAGAATCCTGGAAATAGAGACAAGCTTTAATGATGGGACCCCCTAACGAAAAAGAAAAATACACAAAAATCCCTCCTTTCTTATCTTAAAACAATAATTTAAAAAGTCCACTTGCCACACTCCAAAACAACAGTAGCGACTAAACAAGTCAAATTCTTTGAAAAGGATCCTTCCTCTCTGCAACCCAAGAAGCCAACTACGAAACCTCTCACTTCCCCCTTTTATATAAACCTCCATTCTCAGAAACCAAAAATCCACACACAATCAAAAACCAGAGAGAAGATTCATCATCTATGGCTTCTTCACAGCAACAAATACAGCAAGAACAAGACCAATCAGCTTTGGATCTCATAACTCAACACCTCCTTACCGATTTCTCTTCCATAGAGACCTTCGCCTCAAGCATACACCACTGCACCTCCACTCTAAGCCAACGCAAGCCACCTCTTGCCACCATTTCGGTTCCTTCTACTGCACCTCTGGCTCCAGAGGATCATCAAAGGCATTACAGAGGCGTGAGGAGAAGACCGTGGGGTAAGTATGCGGCAGAGATCAGAGACCCAAACAAAAAAGGTGTTCGTGTCTGGTTAGGCACTTTTGACACAGCCATGGAAGCTGCAAGAGGTTACGACAAGGCTGCTTTTAAACTACGTGGAAACAAAGCCATTCTTAACTTCCCACTCGAAGCAGGCAAGCACGAGGACTTTGAAG